TTTTTTTTTTTTTTTTTTTTTTTTTTTTTTTTTTTTTTTTTTTTTTTTTTTTTTTTGACTTACAGTGATTTTTTCGACACTACATACTTAAAAAAAAATTCTTTCCTAGTTTAATAGTTTCATCCTTCAAACTGCGCCCTCCGATATAGTCGAGCGACTCCGGGCGCTCATTCTTACAATATTACTATTACCTTAGTGTCTATATAATTATACATTATTATTATTACCTTCTTTTAATTATTATTGTTATTATCATTATTACAATGATTTTTCCTAATTTTTTTTTTTATTTTCTATTCTGTATTCCTTAATTTTATTTTTTTTCTTTTTTTTTGTAGTAGGAATCACTTGCTACGTCGTATGTTTTATGTGGGCCCAAGACTTGTGGAGGGTGCTCCCGCGATAGTTACCGGGATGTTAGCAAGGTGTCTCGGTGTCCTCTTCTGCATTTCGAGGGATGTCGGCTGAGGCGCTGAGGGACTCGTTGCTACAGTCCCTTCCCTTTCTGAGTTGTCTCTGCGTTGTCTACCTGCAAACATTCTAGCCAGATTTAATATCAAGGGGCCCCCCCATTTTAGGAACCCGAACGACCCTGCTGCCGTGCCTATAGTTATCTCTGCTGCCACCCACGCGTATTCCTTCCAATCGGATAATTCGCTTTGTGTCTGCAAGAGTTCGCTCACGCGTTGGACTATATCCATTGATTTTGTGCCAGTTTTTAAGTTCTCCTCAGGCCCGTGTTCTTGACTACCGAGTTTCTGTAACCCGTCCCTTTTTATTATTGTGCTTATTCGTTCCTGTAACTTGTCTGTTCTTATTCCTTTTATACTCTGTATTATTTTCTTTACATTTAAGTTTGAGTTTTTGAATTTAACTATTTTGCTCTTGCCCTCCTCTGATCCTGGGCTCAATCTTGTTTCTGATGCTTGAGCCATGCAATCATCTCATAAATTTATTACTCCTGCATCTATAACTTTCAATGTTTCGTGCTCTGTATGCTCGCATTGTACGTGTATTTTCTCCTTCACTGTGGTACTGAACGCGTCCTGGTTTCTTGCATGTAGGCGTGTCCAATAAGTGCCTTTTAATCTGGCTAGTATAATTGGGCATTCCTCTGGATTTTTTATTGTGTAACCCAAAATCAATTTTATTTCGCAAGAATGGTCTTCGTCTATCTCATGTGCTGAATCCATCAGTGTGCAAATGCGTGTTCGTCCTATTTTCTTGCATTTTTCAACCGTTCGCTGTGATATTGGTGCAAACCTTTTCGCGCTCATGCTGACTGCCATGTATTCGTGTGTTGGTTGTAGATGTGCCACGACGTTTGATATATTGAACCCTTCCTGTTCTACTAGTAGCGGTGATATTCTGGGAAAATCAAAGTCCTCTCTTGTTACCAAGGGTATCTCTATGTAATATACTATTTTCCCATTAAATGCTACGGTTGCTATCTCCAACGCTTTCCCGATATCTTCCCTTGTTGTTGCATTATTTTCTCCTGGGAGTTTGAGGTTCGGCCTTAGCTGTCCTGCTAATATTTTAGCCTCTGATATAGCTATCGATGCTTCCTCCGGTAGGTGTATCACGCCCCGACTTGCCAAATATATTATATCGGCCGTTTTCCTAAATTTTTCTGATAGTTCGTTGGCTATTTGTTGAAATTCCTTTACCATATTTGATACTTTGTCTTCTCCTGTTATCAGGTCTGCAAATATTTCTAAACCTTCTTCCGTTATTTTTCCCGCTTTTTCTTCAAATTTTTTAATATTTTGTAGCTCTTTTTTATGACTACCGAACGCTGTAACTGTTATTTGTTCCGATAAATATTTATTTATGTCGATTGCGGTAGTTGGTTTTGAGGCTATCAATTTTAGTATTTTTTCTTTTTCCGCTACTGTTAATTGCCCCTTAATTACTTGCGCGTCTGCGGTTTGACTAAGAATTTCTTGGCCCACTACCGCTCTGTATGCCTCTTGCGCTTTTTCTTTTGTTTGTAG